ATAGCAACATGTTGTTCAACTGTATTGAGTGAAGCATCAGCAGGAAGTCTAAAAATTTTTCCTCTGTGTTTTCCTCGAAGACAAACTGCCTTCGCTTATTACCAGAGCTCTGTGCTTATGCTCATATACACAGCCGTGCAGAAAACTGGAAATTATCGAACGTTATTGGTTGTAAAGATTGTCGGATGATATAGTGTTAACCTCCCCCCCCCCCCCCCTGTCAAACGATGAAAGTTGATGAGAGTTGCAAATCTCGCTCGCGGTTAACCGCCAACTCTCACGAGTGTCATCGACTCTCGTAAACTTTAAGCTGATTCAAATTTTGATGATAGTGATGAAAGTTGTTGCTACGCGTGGCAATACGCAGTAATTATCACCAACTCTCGTGTAACTCTTGTTCTCGTTTGACCATTGGTACGAAAGTTGAGAAAAATCTCAATGCAAATTCTCCCTTCTCAACTTCAATCAGCTCCCATCCTCGGTTTAACCGGAGCTTTAAATAAGCAAACTAAAAGAGATTCATGCATTGTATCACCAAGTCCCGCAAGCGGGAGAAATTCATTTACTCCGACAATGTAGAAATTCACAAGTTATAATATCGCCTGATTCGTATTTGCTTACATGGCCGAATTCTGAGGGGAGGTGTGGGGAAGTGCGCGCCTCCCCTGAGATCATTTTGCACCTCCCCAAAGAATTTTTGCACCTCCCCTGAAAAGCCATGCACCTCCCTTTGGGAAAGTTTCAATGATAGATCAAAGTGAAAATTTGACATATTTTGGTTGCCTAGGCGGTGCCGTAACTAGACGCGATAATTGGGAGGTGCATATTCATATATCCGTGTTCTGCCCGATGTTCTTTTGAAAGCGATTGTTTTTACCATATGTGAACATGAATATATGAATATACATCCCTCCCCCCAATTATCGCGTCTAGTTACGGCCCTGTGCCTACACTTCGTAAGAAAGTTTTTCTGTATAATTGAAACAGTGATAGGCATTCATCTCTGTGTCAAATACCCTTTTTAATGCAATGTTTTGAAAGAAACTTTGTAGTAATTGTAAATAAGGGCAAAATTGGATGAGTTGTACAGTCATGATTCATTAATACACTGATACACATGTACACTACATGCATAGGTTACGTCGTTGACTTTGGCCCGTTTTAAGCCCTAATTTTCCATGGAGGTCGTGAGTTAGACCGCTGCACCTCCCCTAATTTTTTTTCCACCTCCCCCAGTATTTTCATCAAAATCCGGCCTTGTTTGCTTATCGTTTTGTATTTGTTTGACGATACGTAAAACCTTACCTAGACAACCAAGTAGGTGACCAGCTTTTGACGCAATTTTTCTGTTTGGATCGCCAACTTTGTTTACCAAATACAACAACAATGTCTGCAAAATTTCAGTCCTTAGACATACATAGCTATATATACATATATTGCTTCGTTCTCAGAATAAAATAGAAGTTTATAGGGAAAGATCGTTATTTTGATGGTGGAGGAGGACGGCTGTAAAAAGGTGGGTAACCAATATTTATGAAGGGTAAAGAATAAAATATGAATGCAAGGATGATGTTGTCAATAGAACAATTTCTAAATAACACAATTTCATTGTTTATTTGCGGCATTATTTAAAGTTGGGTGATTATTTTTACCTTTTCTTGTTCGGGTTTTTCAGCAAGTAGTTCGTACACAATACCTGAAAACAAATTATGAAAATAAATTGCAATTTAGAAGTGTTCAAAATGGACGATCACACTTGCCCATATACAACATCTTAAAGCCCCGTGCCTGAGGGCATATTACCAGAAACAAAAAATTCAAGATCGTAAAAACACACTGATATCGAAGGAACTAGACTGAGTCCAGAAATATCACCCACTCGAACCGACTTGACCTCGTAGCTAAGTTGGTAGAGCAATGGACTAGCAAATCAAAGGTCGCGGGTTCCATTCCCACCGCGGTCAAGCAAACTTTTCAGCTTGCCCGGTGAGGACATACTCAGAGACAAGATACAGTATATCTTCACCTAAGTACATAACACCAGAAACAAAAAATTCAAGAATCGGATATATTCGGGATATATGTACTGGTTGAACATACGGTTAGAGGTTTTTCGAGGTCTATATAAAGTATATATATTTGGGTAGTTTTTGTATATTTTGTTGTTTATATTGAGTGTATATTAAATTCCTTTTCAGTTTTATCGTTTGGGGCGTTATTAGCGAATTCTGTGGAACAGAATGTGTAAGTGGAGAAAGTTTCCTCTTACCTAACACTTTGTTGCGCACGTTTTCAAGATTATCATGTAATAATCTCTGCAAAAATAAATAAACAAAGTTATTCTATCAATCCTGAGGGGTGCATCGGAACTCGGTAGGCAGGGGCGGATCTACTGTGGAGGTACGCACCCAACCCAGTGTGTCAAGCACCCCCCCCCCCCTCCTAGAGAAGTCCAGCAACACCCTAAAATATATGCTTGACCATACATTTTCTGCTTTTCGAAAAGCGATTAACGGAAATTGCACTGTTAGAGCATGTCGATTTCTTGAAACGATTTAATTGATTTGTGAGCTCACGAGAAAATATTCAGAATGTGTCAACCTCGTTCCCAGCGTAGTGGAAAGAGCCTGGGTACGAGGTTGAGAATGCTTTAGTTCAATATCATGGTTAAATATGCAAACATGTCAAGGTTGTCATACAGCTATATTTTCAAATATAGTGCATGTACTGGATTTTAACAAGCAAATTTACTGTTCTGTGCTACAGCAACTGTCCAGTCACACATAAGTGATAAAAACCCGATATAAACTTTACAAATAAAAGATAATGTAAAACGTAACAGAACGGCGAGAATGCAGGTTCGGCCATCTCAAAAAATGGTAATTTGAGGATAGTAGTTGCAAACTGCAGAGGAGAGTGGCCCCCACACCCCACAAGAGGCTAGACCCACCCCTACTTCTATATGTATTAATTGTACTTTTGCTACGGTCACTCTCACTTTCCGTTATCTTTATTCGCTTTTACTCTGGCCTAGCTATACCTTCTCTCGGACAAAATAAGTGGGTTACCTCCAGTCCAAGAACAAATCTCTCGTATCGTTGTTTCAGTTGATCCTCAAAATACCAGAAAATTAATTTTCTATTCCAAGCATCGCGACCACTCTGGTTTGTTTTCTGAGGAGCAGATGTCAACGGGAACTGGAAAGAATGGAGAATTAATCAGTAACTGAAGACTGACCTTGTCAAAGCTTTGGAACAACCTCATTCACGCTGGTCCTCTGAATAGCTTCTCTAGTTTATCTCTTTCAAAAAATTCTTAAAGTACTTATTTAAATTGGAGCGGAATAGAACTTTTGACTAGTCGAAGCCGTGCATGTGGAGTCTTGCGGAGTGACTGCTCTTGTCATAGGCAAACTACAGTAGAAGGCAAAAGGCATCGCAACTCGCCTTGGCCATTCAATATTTCATAAATATTATAATTATTCGCATCATTTACCATTGAACTACTGTAAACTAAACTAAACTAAACTAAACTAAACTAAACTAAACTAAACTAAACTAAACTAAACAAAGCCAGTTCCATCTCATCCAGGAGTTAACTTAACAGTCAAAAGTAACTCCATGATCGAATTTCCAAATTTATACGATCATCAAATAACCCGAGTGCAGACTGCCTTGCCATAGGCAACAGGATCGTAGCTAGAAGGCATTGCATCTCCCCTTGCCATTTAATATGCCATAAATATTATAATTATTGTTATCATTTGTTTTTGGTCCAATTAAGTTGTTAAATTAAACTGAACTAAACTAAACGAAACAAAACGAAGCCATCCCGGACTTAGCTAGTAAATACATGATCGGATTTCCAAATTAATACGACCCATGGCCGGATTTTGAGGTACAGTAGGTGTGGAGAGGTGCGTACCACTGAGAATTTTTGCACCTCCCCTGAAAAGTATGCACCTCCCCTTGGGAAAGTTTCAATGATAGATCCAAGTGAAAATTTGACATTTTTGTATTCCTCGTGTGAATGTAAAATTGAAACAGTGATATCCTTTCATCTCTCTATCAAGTACCTTTTTAATGCAATGTTTTGAAAGAAACTTTGTAGTAATTGTAATGAAGGGCAAAATTCGATAAGTTGTACTGTACAGTTATGATTCATTAATACACTGATACGTAGTACATATGTACACTACACTACATGCATACGTCACGTCGTTGACTTTGGCTCGTTTTAAGCCCTAACTTTCCATGGGTGTCGTGAGCTAGATCGCTGCACCCCCCTAAATTTGTTTCCACCTCCCCCACTATTTACACCAAATTTCAGCCTTGATACGATCATCAATTAACCGTCTTAGACGTAGATGGTGTTGGTGCTCAGGCCATGCAAAGGTATTTGTGAACACTCACAAACGTTTGTGTCTGCACTTACCTGTATACTGTACTCATTACTGTTCTTGTTTTTAATACTTTGGTAAATTACTCATTTGATTAATGGGTTAATTAGTTCATAAGCTTTTATCATGATTTCCATTTTTTCCATTTCCACATTCATAAAAATTGTGTATATATACAGTATGCTCATTTGGATTATCCAACAAACTCAGTATATTCATATACTGTTCCATACAGATACCTGTACCTATTATGCTTACCTCGGAAAATCGCTTTAATTTTCTATCGTCAGGCAACAAGTTCACAAGGCACAAATCTTTCAATGTATCTAGTACATATTAATATGATGAAATTAATTTGCCAATTTCATAACAGTTATGGGGTATGGTGACTTGCACCAAGTTCGCCTTCTGTATTTTATTTTATTATATAAACGTAAGTGTTATATAGAGTTTTTGGCCACTGAGAAAAATCGTATTTAAACACACGTAAAAATACGATATTTTTACGTGTGAAAATATCATTTGTTGTAAAACGCATTGCCACGGACATTTTATTGTTTTTCACTGAATTTTGTTTATATAATAA